GTCAGGGCGGCTAGGGTCTGGAACCAGCTTCCAAGTGAGGTGGTGCAGGCTCCCACCCTGGGGGTTTTTAAGAGGAGGTTGGATGACCACCTTACTGGGGTCGTTTGACCCCAGTACTCTTTCCTGCCATGGCAGGGGGTCGGACTAGATGATCTCAGGTCCCTTCCGACCCTAGAAACTATGAAACTATGAAACTATGAAAAGGGAGATCTGGATTGGGATGTGCAAGCATAGGGGTTCTGTTGAAGGCCTGCTTGAGGGGATCAAAAGCTGCCTGGGCTTCTGGTGGCCAATGGAAGTGAACCCCCTTTTTTTGAGAGGGTCATGGTGGGTGTCACTAATGCAGAAGTTAGCAAATCCCAAAAATCACTGGACCCCCCAAATGTCTCTTGTAGGTGGCCCTGCTGGGGATGTGGAGCAGTGAATTTATCCTCTAGCCAGGTTTTCCTTCATAGAAGGCTTCAGATACCCCTGTTCCAGCTCAGGTAATTAATGCAGACAGCCAAGGGGCATCATGGCCCCAGGCTGTAGATCTATAGGACAAGTCATAGAGCTAATGTGGCGGCAGGATGTTTGCATTCTTCCTGCTAAACACACTTCCTGCTAAATCGAAGTCCTGGTAATTAGGGGGAAGCATGGTGGCTGGTGCCAGGGCCTTTGTTGACGTAGGCCCCACTTTCTGGGATACCGCTGCCTGTGCTACAGCTGATCCCAATGTCTGCAGTGTGCAGTGTCCCTCCATGAAGGAAGGCTGAGTTAGTAGGGTGATGGCCTCAAGGTGTGGCAGACAGGCTTTCTGGCAAAAGTCAAATTCAAACTGAATGATTCTCTGCTGTCAGTGAATTCTGGGTCATGGAGGGGCAAACACAGAATTCCCAGTATCAGGGAGGCATGGGGGCATGTGCAGATCAAATCAAGCCAGAGTGTAGATTCTCCATTTGGCCTTGGACAAAGACCCAGAGTAGGGCAGTTTCAAGTGATACAGGACCTGAATTGAGGGAGAGGCCACCAATCAACTTGATCATTACAGTACTGGGCTTGCATTTTACTGGAATATTTTTCACTTTGGTGAAACTGATGTCCATAAAATTCCTTAAGGCATCCAAGTCCACCATACTGTGAACATGGTGGGGTGGGACAGGCACATGGTGAGCAACAACAGAGAATGCCTGAATGCTGGGATGGTCCCTGAAGAGGCCAAACCCATCATCTGACTTGGAACCCCTTACTCCATGTGGGTGCCCTTGTTTCCTAGCAGTGCCCCCACCCCCCGTGCTTGGTGGGACAGGTAGCTACAAAACAGCCTTGCACACCACAATACAAGCAGAGACCAGCAATTCACCAACAGTGCCTTTTAGCTTCTAACACATGGGATACCCCTATGTCTATCTCCATTGGCTCCCCTCTTGCTGTTTCTGGGGGAGCAGTGAAGCTGGAATCCAGGTGTAGGATCTCATCTGAGAGACTCCCCTCTTCTCCAGACACCATTCTGTGAGGAGGTGCTCAATCCAAATACAGAGCTCAGTCAGGAAGCCCAAGCAAGTAGGGGACTAACCCAGGCACCAGAACATGGGCAGTCTAGCCTAGGTTAATTACATAAAGTGTAGGCATAGTCCAGGTTGGCTGTCCAGAAAGCAGAGGCCCAGAGGAGCCTGGTGTCAGAACTGGCTTTGGAAGCAGTAGCCGAAATCAGAATGAGCCAGGGTCAAGAGCCAAAGCTGGAGACAAGGTAAATTGAGGATTAACTGGGATTAGAAGCTAAAAGCCAGAGCCAAAGTGAGCCAGAGCCAAAGTGAGCCAGACTCACGAGCAGGGGAGCAAAATCAAGGAATGCCAAGAATATTATTGGAGTTAGAGCCAGGAGCCAAAACCAAAAGATCAGTAAGGAAGTACATAGAAGTCAGGAGCAAGAACTTCCACCTTTGCCCAAACAACAAGACCACAGGCTGGTCCTAGCTTTTAAGGGCTGGAGCAGATGGGACCTGCTGCCTGTGGCTTCAAGGGCTTGGCTGCCCGAATTATCTTATTCAGCCCAGCTGGAACCGTAGCAGGGCTCTGGAGTTGCTGCAGATGGAGCTTGTTCTGGGGATGGCTTGCTTTGATCTCTTGATTGGGAAGGGCTGGGTCCAGGATTCTGACCTGGCCTCACTACACTTACCTGAGGTAGCAAGACTAAAGCTAGCCCTGGTAGGCATCCACCTGTTACAAAACAGATCTGGACTGCAATTTGGACATAGGTAGATAAGGAGGAATTGTCCCTTGTTTAGCACATTACAAAATCTTACAATTCTTAAGCAAGCAAAACTCTCACTAGTGTTATCTAGCTGTCTATGTTTTAAAATTGCCCGTAACTGAAGGGAGGAGGAGGCCATCAGTCTGCAGTTCAAGGCACCTCTGTTCTGGGGAAGGGTGTGGAAATAGTAGCCAGCATTTCACAGTGCATTAGTCCCAGGTGTGGATCTGTCTTGTGGCACTTCCACTATATGGAATTGCCAGGCAACAATTAAGGATCCTTTTTGCAGCACACTGAGCCAGACCCTCAGGTTAGCTCCACCGATACCAGCAGGTAATCTGGTCAACTCTGCCCTAAGCACTCACAGGATCTCTGCTCCCAGTGTTTAGAACTAGAGAGGGAGGGGGTATGCTCCTTCTTGCTTTGTATCTTTTCCAGCTTTGACAACTCCACCCTCTTTCTGGTGGTTCTTTATTATCCTGTTACTATTCTTAGGAACTGTAACCAGGCATTTTTCATAGCATTATGGATCAAAGGAAATTTTATGTTTGTAAATGTTTCAAATTCCACCTTTTTAAATTAATTTGCAAAAGCCAAATGCCTCAACTGCCAAGTATCATCTTTACCATAAATTGCATAGATTGACTCTTTGACTTATCGATCCTCCATGAAATCATAGAAATTAGAATATAGATCTGTTAAAAGATACACAAGGAAATGTAGTCCATTTCCTGCCAATGCAAGTTTATTTCTGTTTATTTCTATAGAGTATTTGGTAGTGTAGTGGCATTCCAACTATAGCTCTTGGATCCTTGGAGCCACTTTTGTCAAAACTGTGAAGCATCAGTCAGCCTTCAAGCAGTGACACTTCCTGCTACTTGTAGTCTGGTACAGAATTATTTTGGGGTTTCTGGAGGTGATTTTGACCAACAAAACTCAACATAGCAAGTATTTGTCTGCACCCTGCACAGCTGCTTCTTGTCTTTCTTTGTTGAGTGTTTCTTTGGTGTAAATCCAACCATCATCAAAAGTCAGGGATAGCAAACACTGGAGGATAGAACCAAACTGCAAAAAGACCTAAAAAGACTATAGCAATGAGAGCTGCAGGCAATGGGGAAAACTCAATACTAATAAAATCCTTTACCCAGAGAGAGTAAACAAACAGCACAGATGCAAAATGGCACAACAGGCTACTTTAATGCAGTACTAAAATTACTTCTGAATGTAGCTAAGGCACTAAGTAAAGGTAGAGTTCGAAGGATAATACAAAAGGCATTTACATAGCCATGAATAAACATAGAATGCTTGCTGTGCTCTTATTCATAGGATCCTATTATTAGTGGCTTGTAAGAACTTGGATCCTTGCTGCTTTATTTTTTAAATTACTTGTGAATCCTGAGCTTCATATTAGTGCTGTTACTCAATATTAGTTAATTGCCATCATTAATTGTTGCCCACCTATTTAAAAAGTTCCAGACATTTCTATGCTATGCGATTCAGATGACTAATCATAAATCATGACTAATAAAGTGCCGAAGTAAATAGTTCAAGAAGAAATCGTCACTTATAATTTGTTCTCATAAACTACTGGATGTATATTTATGTGTAATGAATACTTTCATAAAAGTCAAGCTGTGTTGGAGAATGATTCTAAGATAGGAAAAAAAGGCTATATTCATCTTGTAATTTATTTGCAACAAATAATATTAACTAGATACAAATATTAGATTTGGGAACAGGAGTTCTCTATCATAAGTAGGCATCAAAAATACAATGAGTTGAAAATCACTGTTGTTATTGCTTTAAACCATCAAAATTTAAAATGCATCAAGTGATGAGATTTCTGTTACTTCCTTAGAGAGATTATTCCCTAATCCAATAGATCTTATTATCAATGTTTCATCTGAATATTCCCCTTTCCTAATTATCTCATTTCACCTTATATTACATTAAATAACTCATCTTTCTTCCTTGGTATTAGGGTGGAGGATGGCAGACTTCGTGAGGCCCTTTCTTCCTATCAAATGCGTTCATCTAATCATTGTGAACAAATGGTGATCAATGGCCTTGAGGTCCAAAAAGCAGCTCTGTCAAAAATTGCAGGTAAAATGGCCAATGTCAAAAGGGAAACATAGCCTCATATCTACATGTCCTTTACCTTAATCTAGAAGGCCTTTCATCTTCAAAATGTGAGTAAGTGCCAGACCAAGCTATTGCACAAGCCAAAGATCAATATTCTCATGTTGCAGACAGAAAACGAAAAACCACCCAAATGCACATTCCAGAATGCAATTTGAAGTGATCCAGCACAATCTGAGTCACAGCCTGGCAGTAGCAACATTCAGAAAACAAGGTCTCTACACCATCTACTCATGGACACAATCTATTCAACATCTGCCATCATCTTTCTCATGCCTATATCATCCAAATTGTTGTCATCTTTTATTTTGTCTCCCTACTATAAGTTACCATTTTGCTAAGGCACATATTAAGAACACAGAACTGGAAGACCAATTAGCAACATTTTTTCAGCACCTTCATATTGTTTCTTCTTTCTGAATCCCCACTAATTTTCAGTATTCTTACTAATTGGGATTTGAAGTCTTACCCTCAGCCAAGTCATCCAAAATCTACCAAATATGCTTTGGCAGCCAGAACCCTATATAGAGAAATACAGATAGAGAGAGACAGAGACTATTGCTATTTCTGTTTCACAAGGCAGGAACAAAAATCAGGAAAGCAGAATCAAAAAACAGAGATACACTTGACAAGGAATGTTAAAGACAACATGAAGGGTTTCTACTAATAGGTCAGACAGAAAATAAAGATCAAGAAAACTGGATTCACTGCTCAATGGTGAGAGTGAGATATTAACAGAAGACACAAATATGGTAGGTAATCTCAGTAACTATCTTACATCTGTTTTCAAAAAAATATAGACTGTGACCATTCAACTAGCAGAATTAATACAAACAATGGCCAAAATCCAAGTCCATCTTTAGATGTTTATGTAGCACTTAGGTGGCTATGTTACATATGTAACTGGCGTCTTGAGCCAATTATGTGCATTTGACTTCCCATTTTCCCAGAGGTTGAATCACAAACCAGTGGAGGAGAAGGCTCTTCCACCTTTTTATCCAATAGTCTAATGGTTAGAGCACTTGTCCAAGGAATGGGAGACCCAGATTTACAGCCTCCCTTCTCCAGATGAGGTTTGAGTCTATGTCTTCTGCTTTCACAGTAAAGTACACCAGCCACCTGACTATGGGCTAGACACAGATAAACCCACTTCTATCCCTCCTATGGAAGATGTCCCACTAAGCAGCAAAGAGGAGAGAAAGATAGGTAGGGCCACAAGGACAGCAAGCCAGAAAGCAAAAAACACTGCCCAAAAAACAGGGTGGGTGCCTTTGGTCCTGCTGGGGCACCACATTTCAGTAAAATCTGGAGGATTCAGGGGCAAGTAACAAAGATGATAAAAGGCTTATAAAGCAAGCAGTATGAAGAAAACCTGAGAACTACATGTATTCAGTCTGAAAAAAAGAGATTAAGGTAGGCATAATTGCAGTTTTCAAATATTTGAAAGTCTATCCTAAAGAGAGAGAACAATTATTATCCCTTGCCATAGAGGACAGGACATAAGGCGATGGGTTTAAACTGCAGTTTTTGGATTACCATATTTTCTTGCATACCATCTGCTACCAAATAAAACACGCACTTCCTTTTGAAAGGCAGGAATCTGGAAGGCACGTCAGTACTACACATACCCCATATCTCATTAACTTATCAAAAACTGGTGCCAAATTTGAGAAAGCCTGTGAAAAGTTTAATACTGGACTGTACCCTCTCCTGCTTCCTGGCAGAGACTGAGAAGCTAGCAGC